GGTCTCCCCTACACATGTATAATACATGTGTAGGGGGGACCGGGGCAAACACGGCCCCTTTTCTTTTTTCAAGACGTTATGGAAGGCATGTACTATACTGTTGAAATGCATATTTATATATGTCATTTAGAAAAGAAATGTATTGTCTTTCATAAACTAATAACCAAATCGTAAACAAGACCATATTTTGGGAACTATTGGACTTTTTAGGTCGAGAGAGTTGGGGGCCGGACGAGCCCCGCCCTGAGGTAAATCCGGCCCCTACCAGGGCAAGTATGGCATGAAGGATAGAGAAGACAATTTACTAATAAGTGTATGGAATTTCATTCAATTCTGTTGGAAAATAAGTCCAGAACAAATCAGTGAATACAAAGAAAAAAATTACTTCATTTTTGCGACGTAAAAATATTATTTTTGTGGTCAATTGTGTGACGTTAACAATAGTGACGTCACTTGGCACAATAACAGTTGCATTCGGGGTGGCCGAATGTGCCCCGGCAAAAGGGGCCGAACGTGCCCCAAATTGATATTTTCATAAAAAAACACACATTGATTGTCTGTGTCCACTGTGCCATACTCGGAGTCGTTTGCGCAAGGTGTGAGTTTCTCAATTTACTCAATCGAGCAGTTTAGTTCCGCCTGGAACTTTCCATTAATGCAATGGACATTTCTAAACTTCATACATTTTTGTACTAACTATTAACACTGTATCATATCTGAGGAATTACATATGTATACTATATATTCAAAACTTAAACTCCACTTTATAGTATCAGCAAGAAAAAATAATGTCATGAAAACCTATACTTGTCAAAATCATGTGCAAGCCCGGGCTTATTGGCTTACATGGTAGCTACGCGCCTGGCTCCTATATAAACCAGAACTGTAAGCTAAAGGCTAACTAAGGCAAAGCATTGTAAAGCAATCCATAGGCTCAAACCAGTAATTATTTAAGTATATAGGTCACTGACATACTTCCTGTACTCCCTCCTCAAGCCAAAACATACTTGCATATCTTGTTAGCCAAGACGAAGCTGTTTTGCTGAAATCGTCCTAGTAGTTACGGAAGAGTTGTCAAGACAAAGATTTTTAACAAAAGGACATAACTCCATAAAAAGTGGCAAAATGGAAATACTACTACCCTAATGCACGAAATCAGGGGGTAATTATCATACCTAAATTTGGCCCAGTTGTTTAGAAGGCAGACAAAAGTTTTTTCAACAAAGGGCCATAACTCCTTATCAAAAGGTCAGAATGAAAACATGTTACTTGGATGCACAATGCCATATCTGTATGTTGATTCCAGTATACCGCCATAACTTCGTTGCGAGGGGTATAATAAAGTATATAATAGTTTTACTATTAATTTGTTTTTATAGTTTTTGTATAATTGCATATATTTGTCTATAATACAATCTCAACCTTAAGTATTTCTCCAGAGGAAAGATTACTTTAGCAGAATACATATTCATGAGTTATTACTTGCTGCACATAACTTTAAAACATTCGTAATATAATAAAGTGTTTTGGTATGATACAAATATAGAAAATGTATCGGTATTTACCACAATAAACATTGATAACCAAATCTCCATGACTATGTAAAATTGGGCATTGATCATGTTTGGCATGCTAAAAAGGTACTTTACCGGTTTTGATATGACATAAAAACGACGATGTAGACAATATATATATATGGAAAGTTTTTAAAGAAGTTTAAAATATAGACCATCATTGTAAATATATAAAGACACGTTGATAATGTTGGTTATATTTTAAATTTTGTGAACATTTTGCATGTTTTTCTTATTAAAAGTATTACTACGCTTACTACATGAATACCAATATGACATATTTAGTATCAAAATAACATGAATTTTATACACTACACTCCATCGAAATTCATTTTCAAAATAACATTCGCCTGTGTCATTTATCTGACATTTTGTTAGGATACCCCCGTCACTCAACCTGGTGTTATGCAAGGAGGTCCACTACGGTTATTAGTAGTTACTATGAATAATCCTTTATGCAGTTGTTGAACATTTTTATGTATCTACATATGGCAAAAGAATAAAAAAAATCAAAGTGGGGGCCGAATGCTGACCCCACCTTTAAGGGGATGTATGGATAACTAATCAAAGTATTTGAAGTATCATCATTGGGCATATAGTGTTTTATAGTATTAATAATACCTTGCTATTTGAGAAAGTTAGTTTTTACATCAAATGTTTGTAAAAATTCTATAAAACTATAAAAAAAAAACAGAGTCATTATCTTTTAATAAGTCATTTATAATTATAACACCCTTTTCAAACCATTGCTTATAAAATAAACACTTGGTTCCTACTGGAAAATATTTATTATACCAAATAGGCATTTTCAATCTACTTTTTATCTCTCTTATACAATCTTCTTAATCTGCTATTTTTCTCCATAATTGGAACACATCTTTCCAAAAAAGGTTTTTACAATTGCCTTGAATAATCGATAAGTATTCTGAACCACAATTAAATAAAATTTCCTTACTAGCATACTTTTTAAATAACACTTGCCATTTACCCCCTGATGTAAACAACCTACGTATCCAAGTAAGTTTCAAGGCTTCAACAAAAGACTTGATGTGTATCATTTTAAGACCCCCTTCCTGATCGTTTTTGATAATTTTATCCCGTTTTGTTTTATCTACTTTACTTTTCCATAAGAAATTAAAACGTTATGAATTTATCTTTTTAATATAATTGTCATCTGGATTTGGTTAGGAGATAAATAGATGATTAAATTGGGATATTAATAAAGATTTAATGATATGTATTCTTCCTATTGGTGTTAATATTCATCTACTCCAATTCTTAATTATTGACTCAGGTAGCAGAGTACAGTAGAAATGGTTTGATCCTAAAAATAAAGGGCATGTCTCAGATAAAAATGGATAGTGGATTTATCCTGCACAACACACCTACATATATATATATAT